AGAGCAGCTATGAGACGAGCGAAGTTTCCAAGCGGTAACAAAAGAATCCAACAGCCTCAGCGTCTCCCAGAGAAATCTCAAAGTCCCATGTTTCACAAGTAAATCAGAATGGAGCATCCCTCTAGTGATCAACGACCGGCTAAACGGTCGAGGGCATATGCAATTCATGATAGTCTGAATTTCTGAACCAACAGAAGGAGGTATAGCACGATGATCTGGATTGAGAAAGTCAAAAGAAGATGAAATTCTTTCCGGCGATACCAAATTTGCTGCCAGGGAAATAGAAGAAACCCTGCAATGACTTCAGTTACTAAGCAGAAAGAATGAAAAAAAAAAGGAAGCAAAAGTCTCAGGCTGCACTTAAAATAAAGATATAGATATACTCTAGTACTTTGAAGAAGACTAACCAGGATGGTGATGAAAAATCTTTCACATTGTATGGAAATTGTTCCAAGAAAGCTGAAGTTAAAGACGGTCTACCCCTAACAATGGCTAGAAGCAAATCCCTATGATAACTAATTTCTGTTGCTCTCAACTTCTTCATGAGCATTAGTAGGCTCTTTGAATCTGGCATCAATCCATTAGAGGGGTCTGTACAAACTTTAACAAGAACATCATGGGCCAACTCATTCACTTTCCCACCATCCTCTCTTGCTGAAATGATGACTAGCTTCTCTAGTGCAGGGATTCCAAAAAGAACACTCCTTAGCGGAGGGCAAATCAATGATTCTTTAACAAGGATCTTGTCCTTCAACGTAGACAAAACATAAGCCGCAGTGTCTTCATCGTCTTCCCCAAGGCCTTTTAGGACATTAGAATACATTTTCTTCTGCCATAAAATAGAATCTGACAAATGAGGTTGCCCAACTTCAAGGAATGATATTGCAAACCCAACAAAAGCCTGCCTCGTTGAATGTTTCCTAACCTTGTCAGCCCCTCCAGTTTTATACTCCCCCAGTTTTGCAAAACCCTTAAAATCAAATTTATTCGCCATATGTGATGCCATTCTTGGACCACGTCTAACTATGGAAGCCAACAGTGAAAGTGCAGCGTTCTGTTGTTTTCCCTCTTTGCTGTTCAATGCATTGTAAATGTCATGCAGTTTTTCATCAATAAGTGACCTGCCAAGCTGGTTAATAGCTCTTCCAATATCATCTGATGTACCTTTTCCCTCTGGATGACTCAAAACCGTCTGGAAAAGCGAGAATATATAGGACACTCCTTGTTTTTTTTCATGTAGAAACTTCCAAACATCTAGAAGCTCCTTAAATTTGGGTGAGTTGTGGAAATAAAGACGCAACAAATGGCCGCCAGTTTCTCCCTTTAGTAACTTAACAAACTCTTTTAAAGCATCAGAGCATAGCTTAATCTCATGTAAGCAAATGTTATACAGCAATCCTCTAAGTTTAGCTTCAAGAGATGGTCTGAAAGCCATCACTGGGATAGGATACTTGTGCTCATCAGTACCTGTATGAGAAACACAGCAACCTCCGCTTTCGTCGTATAGACAAGAGATAATTGTACCTTCCTCAACGCCGATACTGGGATCAAAGTAGTCCTGCTGCTCCAAGTCTTTATTTGGTCTCTCTGCCTCGTTTAGTCTCTTCAATGTTTCGCATTTAGCCATCGCAGTTCCTTTCCTAGTCAAAGATTTAGCTACCATCTTGTAATCTGACATCAAAACATATAAATAATTCAATCAGAAACTTCTCCACCAGCCCACAGTGTCATGTTGAGAATTAAAGCTACCTACCCAAAGACCAAAAACTTTACAGTGAAATCGGATTCAGTTATCAGCTAGACAAGATAATAATTCACCTAGAGAGATTCCGGCTTCCACCAATCACGGTTTCTGTTGAGAATTGATCCTTTGATTGTCTCTGGAAGAGATAACAAGAATGAGAAGAAGGTGATTGAAGAGAAGCAGAAGAATTAAGAAGAGAAGAAGTCGACGAAGAAGAAGGAGAAGGTAAAGTCAAAGAGAGAATTAGAAGTCAACAAAAGGGTGTTGGGCTTATTTTGTTATGTTGTGTTTTGTGGTAATGGGCCAACGGATTAATTAGGCCCAACTAGTTATTATGTTTGTGTCTTAGACTAAGATTGATGTTAAGTGTCTAAAAGGAGTAAAACATGGAGTTAGAGTCCCAAGTGTAGTAGGGTGGCTAATAGGAAGGTGGCTGATGTGTTTTCTAGGTCTAGGGGTGTGGTCTAAAGCACTAGTTGCTAAGTACAAGTGTGTGTTGTATTTGGTATAAGTATGTGTGTTGTAAGAATGAAAAAAATCAATGAAAAGAGAAGGAGTTAAGAGAGAAAACGTTATACACCAAAAGAGAAAAGAAAAGAAACAAACAAATATTGAGTGATTTACAACCGTTTCTCTCTGTTCCTCCAAACTCCGGCCGGTGGCGGTTGAGTAACGGCGGCGATTCCTTCTTTTAACTCGAGGTTAGCATGTGTATACACGTGTCATTATTTCTCATGTGGTGGTCATCTCTAATGGGCCCCTTTGGTTGGGCTTCAATGTTTAATTTAGAGTTGTACAATCTGCCCATTTGGGCTTTTAATTAGGTACAGAGGGATGATTGTTCTTAACGTGGCTTCTAGTGGGATTACTTCTTTGCTGCTAGCAGGTGGTAGGACTGCCCATTCACCTTTTTGTATACCAATGAGTTTTCTACCTATTCTATTAGTCCTACATCTGATCTTGCTGAATTAATCAAGATGGCTTCCCTTATAATATGGGATGAAGTACCAAAGATGAGCAAGTACTGTTTTGAGGCTTTAGATAGAAGTTTCTCTGATATACTAAATCTTAAAGAGACCAAGCCTTTTGGAGGAACGGTTGTTGTTTTTGGAGGGGATTTCTGGCAGGTACTTCCTGTGATCAATGGTGCAGGTAGAGTGGAAATTGTATTGTCAGCTCTAAATTCTTCCTATCTTTGGGATCATTGCAAAGTGTTGAAGCTAACTAAGAATATGAGACTACTAAACAACAATTTCGAAAATGATGAGTCAAACTTAATAGAGAAATTTTCAAAGTGGATTTTGGCTGTTGAAGATGGGAAGATTTCAGAACCAAACAATGGTGAGGCTGTAATTGAGATTCCTAGAGAATTACTGATTACTGAAGTAGCTGATCCTATTGAAGCAAGCAGTCGAGAAATATATGGCGATCCAAATCTGTTGCATGAGCAAAAGGATCCTTTTTTCTTTCAACAGAGAGCAATATTAGCTCCAACCAATGAGGATGTTAATAAACTGAACCTCATTATGCTTACTCAGTTGAAAGGTGAGTACCTTTTCTAACATTTTATTTGTGACCAATTTGAAAAAAATACTTCAGCGTTTATATGACAGATTCTGTTTTTTATGTTTGTTTTGCCTTAGGTGAAGAAATGGTTTATAGGAGTGCGGACAGTATAGATCCTACGGATATTGATTCACAAAGAAATCCAGTTTTTACACCCGATTTCTTAAACTCTATCACTATACCCGGTTTGCCTAACCATATTCTACATTTGAAGGTTGGTGCTCCTGTCATGCTATTACGAAATATAGACAGTAAAGAAGGCTTATGTAATGGCACACGTCTACAGATAACACAGATGATGAATCACGTGTTAGAGGCAATGGTTATCACATGTGACAGGATCGGTGATAAAGTTTTAATTCCAAAAATCATTTTATCACCATCGGATACTAAACTTCCTTTCAAAATGCGTCGTAGACAATTTCCTTTATCCCTTGCTTTTGCTATGACCATTAACAAAAGCCAAGGACAATCGCTAAGTGAGGTAGGTCTTTATTTGCCAAGAGATGTGTTTTCCCATTGCCAGCTATATGTTGCTTTATCACGTGTTACTTCTAAGAAAGGTTTAAAAGTGCTTATAGTAGACAAAGATGGAAAGATTTCAAACAAAACAAGGAATGTTGTTTTTAAAGAGGTTTTCCAGAACTTAGATAATTAAGGTATGTTTTCAATGACTTACAAGAAGGATTGTACCTTCTCATAAATTTTGTTATTTGAGTTTGTATTCATTTTTTTTAGTTAGTCGTGGCAACTATCTTGGTCTCTTGGTAATATTACTCTTTTATCATTAAAACATAATGTTTCTTTCAATTCAAATAAAGTGTAAAGTTTTTTTCTATGGTAATGCATAGTACGTGGTCTGAGACCAGTATGCAAGGCCATAAAAAAGGCCTAAAACGAGAAATCAAAAACATTGTAAGAGAATAATTTCTCTTACAATATTTTTATATACTTCAAGTAACAACTTAAATTCAATTCAATTCATTCACCCGAATTCATTTCATTCACCTAAACAAAATTTATATATACTTCAAGTAACAAATTCATCAAGAAGAATCAAATGTAACCTTACAAAAAGATACAGATATTTATTGATGTAAATATACAGTTTGTAAGAAATATTTTATTGGGATTTCAATCTTACTAGTGATTGACCCGCGGTACACCGCGGGGTAAATATTATATATATATATATATATAGTTATAAATTTATGATATTGTTGTATTAATTTTTGATGTTTTATTGGTATAAATTTTAGAATCTATTTTTTTTTAACTATAAATTTTAATTTTAAATTATATTTGTTTTGTTAATATTGTTTGTTATGTTTAGTGTTTAAGATTATATAATTGTATTTTGATTGTTAATTCTAGGATTTCAACCGTGGTATACCTTCCCGTATTAATATCAACCATAACCCGTGCTTCGGCCGGATCTTATGTTTTGTTAATATTTGCGAAATTTTGTTATATATGAAAGTGGATAAAATAGTAAATTGAAAATATGTAGATGAAACCATCAAAATCCTATGTTACAATAATTAGAAAAAAAACTTAAGCCAGAAATCTCAGTTTCACAATAATCTATATACTTGCTGAAGAGTGTAACGGGGCTTCCTCTTCTTCTTCATAGTTTCTGTTAGCTTCTGCAACCCAAATAAAAATACATCAAGAATCAGAAACCAAATTATAATTCAACTTAGCTTTAATCATCAAAATAATACATCACACAAATCTTTTCATAACACTCAAAGATGAGAAAACACACCTGGAGTACACGGGATGAAACATGCGCAACTGGAATTGATTCAAATTCCCCTTCATCTTTTTTATAGATTCAAATTAATATATTGAAGTAATTGATCTCATTATCACTAATGAGCTTACAGTTAAAGAAACCCTAAAAACAGAGAGATGAAATATACCATCGTTTCATTGTCGTTGATAGAGACAAAAATCGAAGTGAAGAAGATCAGCTCGGTGCAAACGCTGTTGCAACTGATACAAACCGGAAGAAAACCGACCATCCATCAATTCGATTTTCACAAATTGTTTGAGCAAGCATGTGGTTTGTTTCTCTTAACCAAACAAAAAAAAGGACTTCTCTCAGAAAAGATTGATATAACTGTTTCCACTAAGCGTGAGCCAAAAGAAAAACAAACCCGGAAAAGAATTATCCGACAGTAAGAGATTATCCGAGGATTATTCAAAAAACTAACTCAACTCTAAAATATGTCGTAGGATATAAAAAGGGTAGTCTCCATTGTTAAACCAAATACAATTGGTATGGGTAGCTCTTCAAGGTTTAAGGGCAAGAGAGAGACCAAACCTTGGGTACTTGTCTAATGTCTTGGTATCGATCTCACCTGAGATTGTCACTATTGATTTTGGAAGGACCTCATGTTGCAGAAGAGCTCCAAGCTTACCGTTACTGTTCAGCTTAGCTTTAACATTCGTCAAGTGATCAACCGCATACAATCCACCAACAGTTACTGTGTTCTCGTTCGTTGAGATTTTCCTGACAACCTCTCCAACTGCCGCACTTCTCTTTGACTCATCTAGGTGATAAAGATAAGAAGCTTTGATCGAATCTCCTTTATCTCCCCTGAAAATACCAAATTAAAGATTCAGATACTAAAGATAGCTATATAGAAACTTTGATTAGTAAGAGCTTCGTTGTCTTACAATATTATGGAGGCACATCGATCTGGCTTTGTGACACTGATTCCGACGTTGTACTTTGTGAAAGTTCGAGATGTAGTGTCATACCCAGCTTCAGCACCAAATGAGATAGTTGATGAGCCAAAAGTGGTTGTTACATCAATTAGAGGGTTTTGTTGTAAGGCTGCAGCGGCTGTAACTGTTGCGTGATCATGGAAGTATTGGACTTCTAGCTATAAATCATAGTTGAGTTTGAATTCAGAAGGCTGAAAAAAATCATAATAGGTATATCTAGCTTAAAGAATTCTAAAGATGCAAAACCTTGCTAGAGTTGTAATCTGGCACTTTGAAGGATGCAAAACCGGAAGAAAACCGGCCTGAGACTCCCACACATACTGCTCATCGTCATTGTGCTTGGTAGTAACAACAACATTGTCAGCAACCAAGTAAGCAGAGTAGAAACCAACACAAAACTGACCAATCATGCTAACATCAGCTCTAGCAGCCAATGCCTCCATGAATTCCTTGGTTCCTGACCTTGCAATTGTTCACCAAATCTAAACGACATAACAGAAACGCATTAGCCAACACATAAATGCAAGATTAATAAACAAAAAACCAATTGCTTTTAACTGAAATCAATTACGTATCAGCCTTAGCCATCCCAATCCCACTATCGATAATGGTCAAGGTGTTGTTAGTCTTGTCGGGAATGATATGAATGAATAGCTCAGGCTGACCATCGAGCTTGCTCTTGTCCGTCAATAACTCAAATCTAATCTTGTCCAAAGCCTGTTCCACCAGAATAAAATAGCTTTACAAAGTCGAATCACAATAGATTTTACTCACCAATTACTCTAGACATGGCAAGAACTCCAAGAACCCTAGCTCCATGTTCATTGTAGCTTTGATGACTTCAAGGAAAAGTTTAAAAAAAAATCTGCATTAGACATAACAAATTCAATCATTAGTCAATACCAAAAGAATTATGGAACACAAAACAGAAAATATAAAAGTTTTTATAACAAAATAAAAGAAACAAACACTTTGTTAGTACTATTTCTATTGAATTCACCAAATAAAAACAAACAATTGTTTTCAAAATCGTATAATCTTGACTTTTATTTCTACATGTTCGGTGTTTATTTCTACATGGCCTCAAAGAAGTGTTTATCTTGTTTGGTGAGATTAGAAAATGCGACTTAGATGTATTTATAGTATTCTCAGAAAATTGTAGTGTTTTCTTTGGGTGAGTAGAAAACCTCTTGCTAAGCAAGTATAAAATATCTTCATAATATAATATATTTGGAATTTATTTAGGAAAAAATATAAATTAGTTATGGAATATGCTAGTAATATGCTAACGATTACCATTTTTAAGGAAAGAAATCGATCACATTTAGGTTTATTGTTATCATTCAAATTTTATTTTATTTTTGGCAATAAATCTTTAATACCATAACTAAAAAACGTTAAAACAAATTAAATTTTTTATTAGCATTAAATTAAAAACGTGTATCAAATAAATTTATTGTTAGCATTAAATATTGATTGGTTAGAAAAATATATCAATTTATTGAGTTCTTTTTAGTTATGGCATTACAAATTTATTACGTTTTTTTCTAGCATTTAAATAGGAAACCATTTGATTTGAAAATATTTGTTTGTTATAACTACATATAAGATTTCTATATTTTCAAATCAATAATTAAATTTTGTTTAAATGTTTTTAGGAATAAAACCAATTAATTGTAAACGAAATTTTATTGCTAACTATCATAATTTACTCCATAAATTGTATTAGGCATATTCTCTAAATATGGTAAAAAAATTAATTGTAAACGAAAGAAGAGGTTAAGAATATGTCATTTGTTAGATGGATTGTTGTAATTAGTTTTCATTTCTCTTTAAAATCGTGATTATAGCTATCATAAGTAGAGAAAAAATAATCATTGCTGAGATTTTTGGAAAGATTATGTAGATATTTTTTTTTAGCAAATCTGTAGAGAATATACCTTTAATTATTCAACCAATTATGATTTGCATAAAATATTTATTGTTAGCATTAAAGCTTATTCGATTTCTTAAGATAAAAATGTATTAAATTCAGTTAGTTGTTTAGAGAAGTAATTATGGAAGATCCGATCGAGATATTCTTAAGATATCGAATTGAATATCGTCAGCCATAATGGGAAGAAACATAAATGGTTAAATTAAGATTTGATCACGATTATTTAGTTGTAGTAGTTTCCATTTAGTAGATATTCTCGATATTATTGTTAATAGCATTTAAAATTGAATATTTGATTTCTATATCTTTGAATATCAAATCTCGTTATTGCAATATTAGGAAGTTTTGTGGACTTTATTTATTGTTTTGTAAATTTGCTTAAGACAAATATTTTGTCAGATTTTATTTGTAGGGACTAATACTATAAAATTGAAATTGTAAAAAGATTTTTGAGGCCAAATCTTCACCAAAAATGTATATAGATTATTGATTTCAACTGAAAACAATTTATTAATTAAGTTCATTATACATTACTATCCTACTTCGTCGTTGGAGACCACTATGCAATTCAAAAGCAAATGACCAAATCCAGAAAAACAAAAACAATTAAGTGTTCCCAATTCAAATGAAAACATTGTTCCCAATTCATTGTAGTAACCAAATTTCAATATAGACGAACAACCTTAATCACAAACAACAATCACATGCATAGTTTGAGAAAGGTAGAGATTTTATATTAACCTGCTATTACAGAAGGTGATTTCTTCTGGTTGCTATGTATCTTCTCTTTCAAAAAATTGTTCCCAACATTACAGGATTTGAACGCAATTAAACACCTATACCTCAAACCATTGGCAAAAATCAAATTTCTCATTCACATAATTCAAATCTTATACGGACACTAAATTGGGACTAACCTACACTCTTTCTAATATTAACAATTTTTTAATAAACAAATAAAAAAAATTCCGTTAAACAAATAAAAACAATCCGTTAATATTATACATTTAACCTTTACAAAAACATTTTTCAATCAATTTGTCAAAATATATATGTTTATAAATATAATTCATAATTTCATGAATAAAAAATAACTATTAAAAAAATAAACTATTTTTTGACAAATTTATGTTTCAAGATTCATTAAAATAAGTTTACATTCTTTTATTTGATTGTCAATTTAATTTTAAATTCTCTCTTTCATTTTAAAATAACATACGGTTATTAAATTAATGAATTTGAAATGACAAACATTTTTACTAAACATAAATAAAAATCACATAATATGTGTTGAAAACTAAATACTTCCTACAATTTATTTAATGTTATAAATTCAACACTATCGATACTACAAAATAAATTTAATAAAAACCTCCACATCACAGCCTATTATGCCCGGAAATAATATTTAGCTTATTAATCTATATATACATTTTTGGTGAAGATTTGGCCTCAAAAATCCTTTTACAATTTCAATATTGTACATTTAGTCCCTACAAATAAAATCTGGAAAAAATATATGTCTTAATCAAATTTACAAATCAATAAATAAACTTAAAACTTTTCCTATTTTTACGAGATTTGAGATCCTAACATATGGAAATCATATATTCAAAATTAAAAACTATTAATAAATGATTTATTTAGTAAATCTATAAAACTAACCCTAATATCTAAATATTCGATATATTTTACATTTTTCTAAAAAAATATATTCTTAAACACGAAAAACTGAAAAAAAATAAATAAATTTGGATCAAATGTAATTTACGTACCTTTTTTTTATGACGGTTTATCGTTCGACCAAGAACATCTAATGACCACCAAGAACATGCTACCCTACCATAAAACATATATTCATAGCAATAACAGAAATTTGGAAATTTAATGATAGAAAACCACCTTTTGATCTGTTGAATCATCATAGAAAATCGACACATAATATCTTAGCCATCCTTTGTCTTTAAGCCATCGTATTGATATGATCTTGCATCCTACAATTGCAACCAATAAAACGAACTACTCTTTTAAATTACATTAGATAATAAAGAGACTAATGAGTCTGGTGGGAAAGATTTTCAGAATATTCGTTTTGGAGCATGCACAAATAATGAAGATAGAGTCGACGGGTGTATTAGTCTCCAGTCTCCACCAATCCAATCATGGTCGTGAGTCACGTTCAATTACGTCGGAGAAAGGATTGGTCGTGTGTCTTCTTCTTTTCTCTTCCTTTTTCATGTTTTTGTTTACTTTTTGGTTCTTTTTGTTTTTCTTTCAACAAAAAATTTGTCTCATAATTAATCGTTTAATTATATTTTTGATATATTAATGATAAATTTTTGTTGTGATAATTACGAGCCAATTGTTTTTAAAAGTAAAATTTCTTTTTCTAAAATATATAGATATTGGTCGAAAATATCAAAACACTTATCGTATATTCCTTTAATTCACATATCTGATAAAATAAAGGAAAATTTCTATTATATTTTATACCGATAATGATGGTGTATCTAAATAAATGTCAAATATAATTGTAAATCTAAAACAATTATGTTATTATTCCATTTTTTAACAAAAGAAAAGGAATATTTCTTTAAAATTAATATCCATAATAGTTATTAAATGGTTTTCTTACGAATATTAATTATTTTGATAAAGATTCGATCTAAAAGAATATATAAATCTTCCTTTTCTGTTATTGTAATATAAATCTTCCTTTTCTGTTATTGTAATTATCTTCGAAAAGAAAAAAAAAATCTTACACCTTTGAATTTAATATAAATACCTTCCGTGGGTTTCACTTTCAGATCATAACTAACCCCTTTTTTTTGCTTTCTATTTTTTTTCTGCGTTTTTTTTTAGCGTTACACATATTAATTCATGGTGTTTATGTATGGTTATAGGTTATGGATTCAAGGTCGTGAAACAACTACAGGACAATTTAATTGCTGACCTTTATTAATGGCGACCGGTGGTGTTGCGGCGGATTTGGAAGATGTTCAGACGGTGGATCTCATGTCGGAGCTCCTCCGCCGCCTCAAATGTTCCAGAAGCCCGACAAACGCCAAATCCAAGGATTTTTATTCCCAAATCATTTAAAAAGGTTTTTATTTTCTCTCTCTGTTTACAATTTATTTACGATAGTAGTTACTGGTCCTGTTTGACTATTACTTTTACTCTCATAGACTCATACACGTTAAGATTCATCTGGGTTGTTCTACAAAGCACATGCTTCTACGTAGATTAGTAGTAGAGGCATACGTAAGTTATTGTAGTGCGAACTTCTTATAATGATTTAAATGTAGTGTTTCTTATAATTAAGTGAGAAATAATGAGATTCACAAGTGATATACTATATCTTACTAACTATTCTTTGTTTTTAACTACAGATTCAAGACCTAAAATAAGGAGGTATCTACTCCTAACTATAGATCTAATGATTTGAATGTTTTGAATGTTTGAGTTAGTCTCACTATCCTCTTTTCCCTACGTTTTACTAATAGTAGTGAAAATATTAAATTAACTCACTAAACATTCCTAATTTTTTGTTTACGAAATTTGAGTTTCAAATATATGGAAATCAAATATTTAATTTTAAATGCTATTAAACATAATATCGAGAATATCTAGCAAATAGAAACTAATAAAACAAAATAATCGTGATCAAATCTAAATTACCATTTAAACTTCTTCCCATTAAGTCAAACACTATTCAAGTCGATATCTAGATAATATCTCAACAAGTTGATTTTTTAAACAAATTATTCCACATTCCATATTTAAAAATGCATGTTTAAGAAGAAATATATTACCATATTATTTAAAACGTTTTAAATATGTGTAATATTACTACGAGATTAATAGAATATATTATCCCCAAATATCGCTTAAATATTAACTTTCCTTAATTACATTCAATTTTTTTTTACGATTTTAAAGATATGTGGTTTGTATTTATTACTATAATCTTATTGATTAATCGAGTAAGATGTAATGCTAACAATAAATATTATGTGCAAATCATAATTGGTTATATAATTAAAAGCATATCTTCTTTACATTTTCGAAACAATATATATATTCTTATTGATTAATCGAGTAAGATTTAATGCTAACAATAAATATTATGTGCAAATCATAATTGGTTAAATAATTAAAAGAATATCTTCTACAGATTTGCTAAACAATATATATTCTAAATCATTGGTATATTACAACAATATATTTTAAAGATCACAATCTTTCCAAAAACAAGATAATCATTTATTCAATCACAATATTTCGGATTTATTAGTTTCCTCGATAAGATTTGTGTATATCAAATTTTAACTTCACCACCAAGAAAATAACAATAATTTAGAAGGCCTAAACTTATATGATCTCTATATAAGAAATATCAAGAGCAGTCATTTCATTCATCTACACACATTTCTGTTTAACAAATTTCAAAG